ATTGAGTCATACATCGAGGAGCTGAAATCGAAGACTGGCATGGCCCAATTGGTACAGGAACTTAGCCAGCTTTACAAAGAGTTGGATGCCCCTACCCGATTACAGCGCCGCAGATCCAAGGCTTTTAAACAAGGCAGTCTCTTTGATCTCAGTCGAAGCTCCCTCTTGCTGCGCAGCGATGACATGGTTCGGAGCCTGAGAGACGAAAAGGGAAAACTTGAGGAGAGGCTGAAAGGCTCCGAGAGTCGCATCAGGAAGTTGGAAGACCTCCTGCATCGCCAGAGTCACATGAGTCGACCTTCTAGCGGAAACTTCTCCCTAGACTTTCCCAGCTCGCCTGCGTCGCCTCACCCTGATACGTTGTCGAGGCGGTCATCTGTGTCCTCGCGACGGATGTCTTCCAACCAGTCACCCGAGGAAAAAGCGCTCGTTCAGCGTATAGTGCATCTGGAAGCGGAGTTGGCAGCAGAACGGGACACGGTACAGCGGCTGCAGAAGGAAGCGCATGCGGAACGTCAATCGAACACTGATAAAATTCAAGAAGAGCAGTCGACGAAGAAAGATCTAATTGGCAATCTCGAAGCCCGACAGCGTGAATTTGACGATGAGCGAAGATACCTCGAAGGCGAACTAAAACGGCTGAAGATACGTACCGAGGAGGTCGAAGAAGAGCTGGATAGGCATCTGGATAGTCGCGAGCACGAAAAACAGGACACTGATGAGCGTATTCACCAGCTTGAAGTCGAGTTGCAAGAGGCTCACGCTCGCGCCGAAGAGGAATCGCGCAAAGCCACTGAACTATTAAAGCAGATGGAATCTGATAAGGACGTGGCCAATGATCTTGGTCTCCGTTTAACTGAGTTACAGAACATAATTGCAGACAATGAGAAGCTGGAAAAAGAAAACCTTAGCTCTCTACAAGCTGCTTTTATGAATCTATCTCCCGGCGGCTCTGTCCCAGCCAAATCCATGGACATTACCAAGGCAATCGAGGTGCTTTCTGAAGGACTCTCTATCCATGCAAAGAATGCAGAAGAGAATGCTCTGCAGGCTGCAGCAGAGTATAAAGAGCTTGAAGAGCGCCTGAACCAGATGGAGGTGGACACCGAAGAGTTGCGAAAGCGTGCAGACGCACGGGAAGCGGATCTGTCTCGCGTTCGTGAAGAGCTGGCACAAGAAAAATCCAAGCTAGAGATCGTCAATTCTGAGCTGGAAGACGAGCGATCAAAACTCATTGCACTTCAAACCCAGTTTGCCGCCGGTGAAAATGGCTCTGATGCTCTCCGAGAGCGAGTCACGCAGGAAGAACGAAAGCTCACCAACCTCTCTCAACGATTGGCCGAGGTCGAGACCCTAGCTCGCCAGTCGGAAGAAGAGGTCACGACCTGGAGAAAGAAGGTGGAGGCGATATCAGAAGCCGAGCAACGGGCTACGGTACGGTCAGAAACATGCGGGCTTAGATCCCAGCAGCTTTCTAAGCAGCTTTTCGCGCAGGTTGAGAAGCTGGAACGCATGCTCGAGCAACTTGGGTTTACCATTATCCGGCAAGACGGAAACATTGTTGTGCAAAGATCTTCCAAAGTCAATATCATGTCTGTCACGGGTGAAAGTCTTAGCCAGTCCGGAGTGGTCTCTGTGAAGCCAGACGCGAGTCTCCTAACTTGGATGCACGCCGAAACCAAAGAGGAAGAGACCGATAGGTTTATGGCTTTCATAGAGTGCTTGTATCAATTTGATGTGGACATTTTTGGCGATGCCGTCGTCAAGCGCGTCAAGGACATTGAGACCCTCGCCCGGAAGTGGCAGAAGGAGGCTCGCGGGTATCGCGACAAATATCACCGGGTGCAAAGTGAAGCTCACGACAAGATTGCATATCGGTCTTTCAAGGAAGGCGATCTCGCTCTATTCCTGCCGACGAGGAACCAAGCAATTCGGTCTTGGGCGGCGTTCAATGTCGGCGCACCGCACTATTTCCTACGTGAGCAAGACGCGCACAAACTTCAGACTCGAGACTGGCTGCTCGCTCGCATCGCCAAGATTGAAGAACGAGTTGTGGACCTCTCCAAATCGCTGAATGGCGCCAATCCTGACCGAAGATCTATCACCGAAGTCAGCGACGGCACTTCCTTCGATGATGAGAATCCTTTCGAACTCTCAGATGGTCTTCGTTGGTACCTTCTCGATGCTACAGAGGAGAAGCCTGGAGCTCCCGCGACGCCAGGCCTTGGGAAGAGCACCGTTGCGCCAGCGCACGTCGACGCCAAGGGCAGCATTCGTCTGAAGCGCACCTCCGCCGGCGGGGATGTCGCCAAGACTCTATCCAAAAGCCTTGATAGTCGGCGGAACAGCTCCAATTCGAAAAAGGCACCCTCGACACCGTCACAGCGCGGCAATGAATCCACCGTAGATCTGGCCCGGCAGGCTGAGGATGATGCACCTGCTGCTGTGGCTGCTAGCTCACGACCACGGGAGGCACCGTCTAATGCCGACGAGGTTCGCCGCAACCCACTCCAGGATCCATAGAGCAGGAGATAGTAAATTCATCTGCGGTGGGTTGGTTGGTTGGGAGCTGACGAAATGCAACAGGGTGCGGGCCAGATCCCCAATACTTCATTCCGTCCACAGCCGCCGTTCATCCCTGGCGCTAGAAGTTCCTCCTCGTCGGTGCGGCTGGAGGATGTCGACGTCTCGTCCATTCATACGCCGGCTAGTCGGCGAACCTCGCGTTATCGTCCCTGGGAGAAGCTGTGGTCTGTCGACTACCGTGTAGAGAGCCATGGTCGCCAATGAGCTGATGCAGCCTAAAAGTCCCAGCTCAGAAACAGCAGGCTGAATCCCTGGAAGGTGGTGACTTCGGAAACATGGAACATACGCATGGGATGGCAGATCCGGGCCTGATATGATACCCTACGAAATGGAAATGGCTCACATGTTTGATATCTTGCTTGCTTTCGATTCTTTGCTTTATCTGTCTTGATTAGCCGGCGCAAACTAGACACAGGCACGTTGCTATGGACTCTGATTTGAAACATTTGCACGAAGATGTTCGACTTAAATGAAATAGATTGGGAGCGACAAATGCCCTGTAAGCCCCCATTGCCACGCCTCGCCATGCACCACCGATGCTCCCGATGCCTCGAGCCTTTGAGTAAACAAAGATGTTTTCTCTCCTGCAACATCCGAGAAAACCAGTCTATATTACAACAAGAACGAATAATTATGGTAAAGCCCCAAACGCACGAGAAAAGGACAAAATGGGTAGGATAACTAATCTAGCTGTTCCGTGAACTCCTCCATCCCACCCACGTCCTCCCAAAACTTGTCGAAATCCACATCATTCTCCTCGAAAAGCTGCTTGACCTGCTTCATGGCCGACACCTGCCTTTCGGGCGTGAACCCACCGGGTTGAGTACTCTCGTACTGAATCAGCTCGACCCACCGGTAGAACAGGTCCTCCTTGCCCATGGCGGTCAACTTCTGCTGGAACTCAATTATCTGATCGCGCTGGGCCGATCGGACCGCATCGTCGCTGATCTCTTGCTTCCCTTTGCCTTTCTGGTCCTTCTTCGACGACGACGAGGAGGAGGAGGAGGAGGAGGAGGCAGAAGAGTCTGCATCCGGAACGGAGGTCTGATTCTCATCATCGACCCGCCAGACCAACCAGCCGTGAGCGTCCGTGTTCACCACCACCGCCGTCCGGAACTCTTCCAGCTTGACGGTCTGTTCTTTGCTGTCCGGGGAGCCATGGCCTCCGTCGACCATCTCATGCGCCACGATCATCGCCTCATAATCCAGATCCCAGTCCTTGTCCACGAGCAGGTAGCCCGTCTTCCGGAGCTTCTCCGGCGTCACGGCCGTGACGATCCGGTCGCGCGTCTCCTCGTCCTCGCGGATCCAGCGGTCGCGCTTCAGGTCCTGCGTCAGCCCGGACTGGCTCCGGCGGACGATAATCTCCCGGTCGCGGAACCCGACGCGGCGGCGCCACTGGACGGGGCCGAAGACGAACCGGATCGGCCAGGGCAGGAGCACGGTGACGAGGAAGTAGTCGAGCAGGACGGTGAAGAACCGGCCCAGCAGGAGGCCGGAGAGATCGCCCCAGCTGAGGGTGGCGGTGTCGACGGAGAGGGCAGTGGTCAGGCCGACCAGCGAGGCGAACATCGCCGGGTAGATGTGGCGCACGGAGTAGAACCGGTAAGCGAGCAGGCCGACGATGGCGAGGTTCATGAGCACGGGCACGACGAAGGTCTGCTTCTTCTGGCTAATCGGCGTGCTGTCGATGTGGATGAGGTAGATCTCGCGCGGCGAGAGCGGGGAGAGGAGGGGCAGGAGGCTGGACGGGGCTTTCGTGAACGGAGGCAGAGGCATCGCCGCGGATTGAGAGGCTGGTGTCGATGTGCCGGACCCCGAGGAGGAGGAGGATGTGGTCGTAGAGCCCTTGGCCTTGGGGCCTCGTCGGGCGGATTTGGCCATGTTGTTTTTTTGGAATGCTCGTGCTTTCTTTTGCTGAAGGTGGAGGGATACGAGGGTTTGAAGGGGAATTTAGGACTCTTGAGCCCGGCGCATGCGGATTTCCCGGTCTTGTTTTATAGTTTTCCAAGTGGCTGATGGCGTGGGGGGAGGAGGCGCAAAGGATAAAAGTAGGAAGCTAACACCGGGAGTATGTCGATTCGCCTGACCGGGTCACATGTGGTTAGTTCAAACGCTCTCGGAGTCACTTGTTTCGAGGGAGGAGGGGGAAATATCATGGAGTGTGATGGGCTCATCCGTACCTGATCAGTAGCCGTGAACCGACGTGGTTTGTTTGACTGGCTTGTTAGGGAAATCAGTGATTTATGAATGATTGAATGTATGAATCGGGGAGAGGAGAAGGAGGAGAAACGGAGATGACGCCCATAGCCCACTAAGCCCGATCGGGGCCGCGGCCGCAACGAACTCCTGGGCGCGAGTCTCGTCGAGTTGCCAATCAATTAATTGCATTCAGTTCGCTCCATACATTCATTCACTGCCCTGTAGCATTCCCTCTGCTTCACGGAGCGCACTGTCCGAAATTCCACTGGCCCGCCCCCGAGGGCATCCGCTTGCCTGTGTTTTGTCACGATGCCTTTCACCCCCGAACGCAGGAGCGACCGGCCCTCGTTGTCGCGTCGCAACAACCGCCACAATCAACCCACCGACGAGCATCCCTCCCCCTTCGGAAGAGCTCGCCAGGCTCATCTTGCAGACCATTTCGACGCGTCTTTGGGCCTCAGCCCTCCCTACGAATCCAACTCGCCCCGTCGTCGCCGGAACTTCAGCCAAACCAATTCCTTACGAGGTGCATTCGCGTTCGCCTCACGTCTTGACAGTATGCCGGACCGAGAAGCTGCAGCTGCCGACGCATCAGCTGGGTACGGCTCGTATGGACGAAATCGAGATCCCTTCCTTCTGTCGTCTCCGGTATCGAACCCTCCGAACGAGCTCGCGGAAACGTACCGCCAAATCGACGATGCGGGTAGCCTCATTGACGAGGACCCATTGGATGCAGACTTCCAGCCGGCGAGCCTTCGCGGTAACCGTAGTCGCGGGTCGTCGTCGGCGTCGGCGAGGAAGAGGACTGACTGGTTCACCTCCTATAGCCCGGACTTCTTGAACGACGTACCGGACGAATCCTCCCGCCGGAAACAGGTGGACCGTGTCGACGACGAGCGGCGCTTGAAAAGGGCTACATCCAGTCGGTCGCCTGTTCTCAGCAATGCAGGGACTCGAGACGCCTTGACTTCGGAAAACCTGCAGCGACGCGACGAAGAGGGAGAGATCCAGGGAGGGGCAATGGATATGGAAGACGATGACAACGAGCCCAGGCCTGCGTTCCATCCACCTCAGGGTTGGGGATCCAAGGCGAAGTACCGTAGCGACTGGCTGAAGACTATGACGCGACGCGACAACCTCCCGTTGGGTTCCACGGCGGATAGGTCGAAAGACCCCTCACCTCCGAGGGTGAGGGCGGATCGGGACACACAAAGTAATTTGGAACGAGGGACCATGGTCGGAGAACGCTCTACGGGACGATACGACAGGGTCCCTCTCTCTGACGCGCAGAACAAGTTGTCTTCGGAACAGAGAGCCGAGAAAGTCACCGAGGGCGAACGGATCCCCAACACACCGATCACTCTATACCCGAGCTCGACCTTCACCAAACGAAGCCCAACCAAGAGGGACTCACAGGATCTACTCCGGAAATTGTCACGGACTGAGAGCCCCGGGCAACGGAATACCGATGAGTTCAAAACCCCGGAAGCTCAGAAAGTCCAACAAAGGCCACGGATCTACGACAAGACGCCAGTCGTTACTGGTGCTTGGATTGATACTCCGATGACTGAGCGAGTGGACAAGTTTCCCGAAGAACTGTCGCGGGATATCGTGCCGTCGCCGCCGCAGAATCACCGATACGCGTCATCTTTCCTGCCTCGAGAGTCCAGAATTAGCGAGGTGTCAGAGCCATCAGAGTCGGAGGCTCTAATTAAGACAGACAATGAAGACAAAGAACAAAAGCGACAAGAACCTGCTTTTGTCAAGAAAGAACCCGTGGTAGAGAACAAACCAAAGGACGACAAGACAGAAAAAGATATCGGAAAGGTTAGCAAAGAAGGCCAAGAAGAAGAACTGAAGAAGGGAAAGCAACAAGGAGAGCAACCGGAGGCAAGTCAGAAGGTCAAGCCGAAGAACAAAAAACCGTTGGTCAAGCCAGACCTGCCTAAGAGCGCACTTGAAACGGTATTACAGGACTTTAAAGCTCACAAGAACATGCTCGACGTGGGCGACGATACGATCGAGTCCCTTCAAGGACTTCTTGAGGGAAAGCCGAGTGAAAATGCTACTGCGGAAGAGGAGGATGCTGCGTACGAGAAGGCTATTTTGAAGAAACTTGAGCTTGCAGGCTCCGGAGATAACGAGACCGTGGATCTAGATCGCCTGAACGAGAAGCTGAAGTCGCTGGCGGAGAACATACAAAAGGTGAAATCGGGATTAAAGAGCCTTGAGGAACAAGCCTCGCGCGACGCCGGTGTCTTGACCGCACCCTCAGCCAAGGGTTCACAAACTTCACGAGCAACCATCTGCGCGAAGTGCCAGGCGGAGACTGAAGGTCGGGTTTACACAATCATCTCCTTTCCTCGGCTCTGGAAACGCGATCCCATCTCCCGACGCGTCCGTCCCACCGGCCTCGGATGGTGCCTCCTCATATTTTTGGCCTGGTTATACTCCGAAACCACCATGTGCGACTACTACTGCCACCCCATCATCGCGAACGTCTGCGAGGGCAACTGTCTCCGGCACGATGCACCTCAATTCCCCTATGTGATTCCGACAATGCTTTGGCGCTGGCTGAATCTCTCGTCCATGCTCGCACCGGTCTGGGCCATTCTTATTGCCACAGTCAGATTCGTCGCCCTCTCCCTCGGCCTCTGGGACGGTTTCGTCGCGGAGCCCCCCCGGCCTCTGAACCTGTCGGGCGAGATCCGCATCCACGGAACCCGCGTTGTAAGTCTCGCACAAACCACAGCAGCAGCAAGCCGTGGTGGTGGTGGCGGTGGCTTCTTCTCGCCGTCGAAGTTGTGGGCCGGAAGAGACGACGAGCGACCGGTGGTTCCCGAAGCCGTTCCGGAATTAGACTTGAATGGGGGTGGGCGCAACCCCAGCCAGCGTCATGGAGGAGGCCATGCTGGATCTGGTTCCTGGGACGACGACGGGTCCATGGATGATGATGAGATTATTTAGTTCAGTTACAAGCAGGTCACCCTTAGATCATATAGCTTTCGTGAGGAGATCCATTATTCGACGTCACATTACTTCCCAGTGCATGGTGTTTTGGGGGCCGGAATATGATTCATGACTTGGTATCGAAAGGGAGGAAGGAAGCTCTACCAGTCTATTAGCCTTTGTTTTTTTGATCGCTACTACCTACTTGAGCATCGTTTCGGCCTAAACTTTCTTCTCTGCATTGCTTTGCATCATAGTTGAGTTGGTCAGGGTTTAATCCGGCGGCCGCTTTTTGTTTACATGAGTATGTGTAGGATTGATTCCCGAGGCGCCATGCCATGCCGGTACAGCTCTTATCTAAGGTTATCGTGGATCTGCGCGAACCCGTGTTTACTTTCCCCTTTTCCGGTAGTACGTACTAAATTAGTCGGAGACTAGATACTAGTACGGACACACTAAGATCCTTCGTGCATAGAGCAACTATTTCATCTGAGCGGAATACATTCAATCGTGTTCATTATGCTAAGCGCAAATAGTCTAACAGGGTATTGAACCATGAACAACATTAACAAATCGAGTAACACGCCAAGCGAAAGAGGTCAAACCTAAACTGTCACATCATCCACAAGATCAATTGGGAAGAATTGAGAACACCTTAGAGGGGTGGGGATATGGAGAATGGAGAAAGAGGTAAGGGAGAGAACCTTAAAGGTTGTTGTGTGTATGGATGGTGTGTCCGGGCGGGAAAGGAAAAATCACAACTTGGCCTTGTCCGCCCACTCCCTCTGCAACTCCCTCTCGCCGTCCAACCGCCACTGCGCATTCACGCGCAACCGCTCCTCGACCTCTTCGTCCGAGAGCGTGACTGCCTTCTCCACGGGGATCGCCTTCTCGGAGAGCAACTTATACCCGATGAATGTAACCTCGCCGCTCTTCGCCTTCACTTCCTTCCCCTTATGGAACACCGCATCGCGACAGAACCGCGCCATGCCATCGTAGAACCGCCGACCTGAGGGCGCGTCCAGCATCACCAGCCCGAAACAGTGCGGCATGCCCTCGAACTGCTCAACGAGGATGGGGGCGCCGGCGCGGTGCATCTTGCGGGCAAGCACGAGCGCCTCGTCTGTGAGACCTTCCTCGCCGATGGAGAGAAGCACAGGCGGGGCGTCGGCCCAGAGCTCCGCGTCGCCGGCGATCGGAGAGACGAGCGGGTGCAGGAGGGAGGAGGCGTGTACGTACAGGTCCACGCGCGGAGGCTTCACGGGCCAGATGTCGTCGGCGGGGACCACCAGGGGCCGGAAGAACGGGTCTGTGGCGGGCGAAGATGTCGGCGCATCCAGGTAGTCGTAGATCGCATTATGGGCCACCGAGGGCATCGACCGGGTCATGTCACACCAGGGGGAGGAGGTGGCGACGCCTGCAGGGAGGGCGATGGGGATGTCGCGGCCGTGGAAGCGGATGGTGGGTTGAATGCGGCGGAGAGTCAGCAAGAGTTGAGTGAGGACGAGGGAGAGATTGCCCCCCGCGGAGTCGCCGGCCAGGATGATCTTGTTGGCAGGGATAGGGTCATGGAGGGAGCCCGGGGGTGGGGAGATGAGGGAGAGGTAGGCGACGAGGGCGTCGGTCAGGGCGGCAGGGAAGGGGTGCTGGGGGGCGAGACGGTAGCGCACGGAGAGGACGGGGGCCCCAGTGCGTTTGGAGAGTTGCGCAACGGTGGGACGGTGCGTGCAGGGATCCATAAGGCTGGAATTGAGCGGTGAGTTTTGGTGAGTTTTGTGCATGATGACACGATTGATCCTTCAGTGGTCATGGAGAGAGAGAGAGAGTGGAAGAGAGAGTGGAAGAGAGAGAGAAAAAGACAGGGAGAACTCACAAGTAAATCCCCCCATGGAAGTAGAGAATGACCATGTCTTCCTTCGATTCCTTCTTCAACTCCTCATACTTGGCCTCCTCAGAGATGTCGGGCTGCGGGGCGTTCTTGTCCACGCCACTGCGATAGCCTGTCCATTCTGCTTCGACCGGTGCCACTCCAGGCAGATCGTAGGTCTCATCGCCCGTTCTGAGGGCTTCAATGGCTTTCACGACTGCGTCCTGGACGTCGATCTGCGGCTGCGGAAACGTCACCTTGGACACCCACATGGGACCCTTGATGCCCGGGTCGCGGATGCTGGCTTTCTGCTGCTCGGAAATGGAGGCACTGAAGCTGAGGAGCGAGCGAATGATGGCGACAGTCAACTCGGTGCGGAGATCCTGCTTGCCCTTGACCGGGGAGAGGCGAATGGCATGGAGGAAGATGACTTTGAGTACGAGGGGGATGCGCACAAGGATGGCCTTGAGCACACTGAGGGGGTTATCGAAATTCCTCATTGTGTTGTCTCAGACCAGGAAAGACGATGTGGAAATGAATGGAAGGTGAAGAGGACAGGATAAGGAGGGGAAACCACCACAACAGGGAAACATCGAGAAGGAGAGAAAAAAAGTAGAAGAAAAGAAAAGAGAGGTAGGTAGCAGGAAGCAACAGCCGAGTGGGGAAGGGGCGATAAGGGGAACAGAGGCAAAAAAAACATGCCTCGGTTCATGATCGGAGGGGCAGGGACAGTTGGATAACAAATCATGGATCAAGGTTTAGTTATGCACAATACATCTGGCCCCTGAACCAGATACAAGTAAATATTTGGTTGGCGTCATCAGAACCGACGACCTGAAAGCCTTCTAACTGCCTTATCGTTATAACCTATAACTTATGTTGTGAGTACCTATACGTACACTCATAAACTCCCTCACATGGCACAGGAATTAAAGTTCTGCAAGACCCCGGAAACTCCTTATTTTTAGAATGTTGGATGCGATCCTTCTGGCGACTGAGCCATGCGGCCTTACGTCATCGCCGAGCCACTAATGTAATCGGACACCGAGCCGGCGCGACACCGAGCCGGCGGCGGTCTGCTGCTGTCTTACTGACTGTCTCGCTGGCTGCTTCCTGAGGCTATTAAACCACCAATAAAAAGCTATATATATTAATTCTTGTTATTTTTATAAGAACATTTCAAGCGATTATATTTTTTATTTCTATATATACTGCAGCGGGCTGGCCGACGTATTCTGGCTGGTCTTAGTACTGTGGTCTGAATTACTTTAACTTCTTGTATTTAAATTATATTAAAGTCTTCTTAGCCTATTAAAGTATCTTTATACTGTATATAATAATATAAGACTTTTTTTTTTTTTTACTTGCTTGAATAGACTGGAACTGCTTAACTTATTATTAAAATAGGACTATATTTTGTATAAACTGTTCCGCAGTCTTAATTATTTTCTTAATAACTTCGTATAAAACTATTAATATTAGATCTTGATTTATAAGTTTTTATAGTTCTTATTTCTATCTTCTAAATTTATATAAATTTGCAGGTATTTTTCCGAGATAGAAAGACTGAGTAAAATATAAGAATATTAGTAGATTTAATATTTTTAACTAAATTTGTAATATTAAAAATTTTTTTAAAGATTTAAAGAAATAAAACCGGTAGTACAGAATCTACTAAATATATTAATATTAGAGAAGATCTTAGTATATATACTATAATATAATTATAAAAAATTAAGTTTAGTAATTAATTTTTTTTATAATAAATAGTCTTAGATATATACTAATTATATAACTTTTTCAACAGTTTAAAGCACGCAATATTAAGCGGCTGCAGTTTATATAATAAATAGACTGATATATATAAAGAAATAATTTTCTATATTATACAGAATTAATTAAACTGTTAAGTTATATAACTATTATAGCTGTTAAAAATTAATATATAATACTTACTAATAGTTTTTAAAACTGTATATTTATTAAATATATTCTAAAGCCAGTTAAAACTAAGTTTATTAGTAATTTAGTTATTTTTACTAATATTTAGATAATATAATTTTAGATATATTTTATACTATATTAATTAATAATTCTATACTGTAAAAATAATTTATAGTAGCAGTATTATTTTTAAGACTAAAATTATAATAATTAAAGTTATTTATTTACAGTTTTCTGGCTATATATACTTAGTATATAATTTTTATATTTCTAAGCTATAGATTATATAAATAGTTAAAGTAATTTTTATCTAAAATCTAGTTTTATTTATATTTTATATATTTTTATTAAGAATATTATATTTTTAGACTGTATTATAAATAAAATCAAACTATTTCTGAATAAAATAAGAATTCTTATATTTAATATATTAATAATTATACTTTAATATAAACTTAGATATTAATTCCGAATAATATTTAATAAAGTAAGTAATTTAATATTCTAATATAATATTTTATTAATTTGGCTTCAACTTTATTTAATATAGCAGTTAAATAGAAAATCGAGTATTACAGATTTTAAAAAATAGTTTTTAATAGATTATATTAAGAAGTTACTACTTTAATATATTTTTTTTAATTATAGATAGCTTTCTGCAATTAGTATCTTTTTTAATATATAATTTAATACTATTTAAACAATTTTTAAAAGTACTTATCTTAATATTAAATACAGCAGCGCAGACGGCTTTTATAGCAAATTTTCTATTTTTAAAAATCTTAATAGTAAGATTTAAATATTTATCTATATCGGCTATATTGATATACAAAGAGAAATATTAAAAAAATCACGAGATATCTTAATATAGGGCAGTTTAGGCGAGTTCTTCGATTTTAAGTTACTGGGGGTGCAAGATATGGTGCAGCAGCCGCCGGCTCGGTGTCGCGCCGGCTCGGTGTCCGATTATGTTAACTATCCACCTCCACAACTACTCTATCATCAAAGTCATAAAAGTTATATGAAAAAATCTTTCCTTTGTTTCATTAGAATAATAATAATACAATCACAAGGCCCATGATAGCTAGCATATCGTCATCACATCATCCAGTGAAAGTGGTTGTCAAGGAACAAGTAAAAAGAAAAACCACGCGCAATAAAATCAAAAGATGATACTTGCTCATCTAGAACCGACCAGCAGTTTCCTTAGCCTTGCCCTTGGCTTCACCCAGGAGCTCGTCCGTCTTTCCCTTGGCCTGGCCAGCAGCACCCTTGGCCTGACCCAAAGCCTCCTCGGCCTTACCCTTGCCCTTGCCGGCCAACTCAGCCGCATCACCCTGCAGTTCGCCGGTCTTGGCCTGAGCCTGGCCCGAGGCAGCGCCCACGGTACCCTTGAGCTTCTCGGCGGCGGTCTCTGTTGGGGGTTTCAATCGGGTTAGCATAGACCCTCCGGGAGGGGAGGAGAAAGGGAGAGGCTTGGGATAACGTACCTCCGACCTCAATACCCTTCACCGCAGCATCGGAAACAGTGCGGTCGACGGCCTTGAGAGTGTCCTTGGCGGATTCAACGGGACCCTTGTTCAGGCAGGCGCTGGAGGAGAGAGCGCGAGTGGCGCCGATGGAGATGGAGGGAGCAGTGGGCTTGAGAGCCGCGGAGGCGGTGCGAGCGACAGGGGCGATGCGAGCGATGAAAGACATGGTGGGATATTGTATAAGCTGTATGTTGAGATGTATGTATAGAGTAGTAGTAGTGGTGGTAGTAATGGTAGTAGTTGTAACAATTGAAGATGGTTCTTGAGACTGAGGATCAGATGTGAATGTACGGAGTAGTTGTCAGTATAGTCCAGGAAGCATGCTGGCAACCAGAGTCTTATAAGCTTGAGGCATGGCAGTTGAACGACGTCATCCTGGACAGCTTGGCTTGGCTTGCTTCTCTTCTCTTATGTCGCTCTTACGTCGATGCCCGCCCGCCACCTCTCGTACTCCCTCTCTTTTGGGCTTAGCCCATTTTCCCAGTGGGTCCCCCGCAAATTCCACCGCCCGGTCTGGTCCCCGGCAGAATTTGCTCTTGCTTGTACGTACTGTAAGTTTTTGTTAGAGAACTACTTATAAACGAACACTACTTTGATCAGCCCTAAGTGCTAGAGCTTGGCTCTATCTCTGATGTAGTCTAATTAAGTGCATGCTTCCTCGCTGTACATTTCAGCACTGTAGATAGCGTAACTTATGTGCACAAGTGCTTTCTGCCTTGTATATCTCGGATCCAGAAGGCGGTGTAGCTGGGATGTTCCCGTTTCCCCGCACCTTTCTTCCTTTACGCCTTCTTTCATTCTTCTTTCCCCCTCACACAAATCATCTCTGAAGCCGGTAAAACTGTGAAACCGTGTGTATCTGCGTCAAATTAACTACACCTTATTATTTGCTTCGTGTGGCATTGCTCTATTGATGATACAGTCTCAAACAAAACTGGTCATCGGTGCCCGGAAAATGATGAAAATAAATCAACAAGCCAAATATCCACAGACGCGTTACTCCGCCCACATGCGGGGATAATACATGTCAACACCGAGCCCTCCATTTCCCCCCTACCTGCTATGCTGTTTTCACGCAATATGACTCCGACAAACCTGACGCCAAATAACTGAGAATACTTTTCGTTGTTGCTTATTCGATCTTGGTCCCATTTATGGGTTATTCTTGTCGTGGAGGAGAGCTCCCACTCCGGGCTCGCCCGCCGCGCGGCTCCGCCATCGGTATGGTGAACTCGTGTGAGAGTAGAGGTCCGGAGAGGTTTGGGTGGTAAGTTGCAGGGTACCCAGGCAAGAGTTGCCCTGCTGCCGCTGCATACTGCACTGGCCCACCAAACTGTGGTCTGCTGTCAACATTCATATGCGGCCACACAGGCTCGAAGGGGACGGGACCCTCTAGAGGCTCCAAAGTCCGGAGATGTGCCGCTGCCGCTGCGTACGAAAGCTCTGCCTGAAATTTACTTGGCCTTGGCGGTGGTGCCAGCTTCGGGATTGGTGGAATGATGTTAACTGGGGCCCATCTATTGGGATAAGGGACTGGGTCGGTGGCCCAGGACTGTTGTGACTTCGCGGACATATCACGAGACATCGGCTCTGGGGCCGGCTCGGACGTGTATCCAGCGTGCACGTCTGAAAACGGTGGTGATGTTCCGGGCATGATCGCAGACGGATGGGAAACTGGGCCTGTTGATGTCGATGGTGTGGTGCTCAGTCGACGTGCTGCTGATATATCGATGTTACCCTCATATGGCAGGCCTGGCGCGAGATATGTCATAGAAGGTGTGCTTGCTGACATATCGCCCACTGGAGACCCAATACCACTGAAGGACGTGCCCAGAGGCGCTCTATATCGACTAGCCGTCACCCCGAGTTCCAAAGCATTCAACTGATGGCTCAAATACGCCGGATCAGGCTCACTATATGCCGAAGAAGTCATTGGAGGCTTCGAAGACATAACGTTGCTCGAACGGTTGGAAAGTGATTCTTCAGAGGATTTATCCTGCAGACCCTGCAACATTGGCCGGCTTCTACTAGGAATCGAGGATGACCGTGGCTTTTCAGTGATATGTTGCGCCTGTCTGGCTGCAATCGTGGCGTAGCTGGGCGAAGCATTTTCTTTCGACAAGCTCTTTGTGAAATCGCCTGGAGCACTTGCAAACTGCCTGCCGTTCATCTGGGGGCGCGTGACTTTTGTGACCGCCGTCAACGCCTCCGACGCCGAGGTCCGAGAGCTGCTCCGGTCTTGGTCTCCAGGCTTGCCCGGTATGCCCTCTACGGGGAAGACCTTGAGAACAGGCGCCGCAGGCTGAGAGCCACGAATGCGATGCGGTAAACCAGGCCGTTTAGGCTTGTTAGCAGCAGGCTTTGAGGGCTTCGAAGATTTCTTGACAAGATGCCAGCCTCGGTCATCCGACGTATTCGTACTAGATACCACTTCGGCTGAATTGGACTCCGGCCTCTCGCTTGCTTCACCCGTTTGCGAGATCAGAGGAGCGCTGCCCGCCTGATCCTGGTTGGAATGACGAAATATGTGCGGGAGGAAAGGCTTCAGATTGAATTTTTGCGGGCGCGGAGCGGCTTCCTGCGGAGACTCCACTTGGGGCGATGTCGGTTCAAGCCAAGCAGGCAAGTCTTCAGCGGCGGACTCAGGCACCGATGAAGAAGAGCTACTTGACCGATCAAAGACCGAGCGTTGGTTATAGATCGAACCAGACCTTGGTGAAATCCGATCTATCTCCCTGGAAATACTCCTCTTCAATATCCTCATGTCTTCCCGCGCCTGACGGACCGCAGCTGCCTCCCGGGCAGATCGTCTTGGGAAGTGCTCGAGCACCTTTGACACATGAGTCTCGAACTCGCGGTAATCTTTGACAAGTCCGTAGCCGCCAGTTTCGTTTCTTGTTTGGACTTTCGTGTACGAGGTGCTGAGTACGTCGCATACCACGACAAGCCATGAATCATACAATCCAGTCTCCGGAGCGTTTGGGTTTGTGGCGGCGGCTTTCCTCCGCTCTTCTTCATCCATCATCTTCAGCTCGTCACGGCAGAACCCCTGAACGACACTATGGATCTTCAAGACGTCAATCGTTCCTGCATTCTGCAATATTGAAGAGAAGAAGGCTTCCTGACTGCTTTCTGTTTGCGACTCAGAGAGGTCCGGTACCACAAACTTTTGTTCCAGCACATTGTCTCTCTCTGCCTGGGGCGACAGAGCTGTGGGGTGCAGCGGGTACGAGTCAGATACTCGTTCAATGAGGCCATACCGGATCAAGATTCCAATCGTCGTGTCAAGATCCCCCGTTTCTCCGCTTCTGCTCTGGGTGATGACTCCAGCCCTCTGCTTTATACGTGTTGAGAGACCCAAGGTCAAGAGACCAACCGGGATATGGTGACTAAAGAACGAAAGCATGTTAACCAGGTTGAGTGCCGTCCAGTGCCCCAGACACATTAGGTCGTGCATGATGCTTAGAAACGGTTCCGCCAGCTTTTCGTCTGTCAAATGTGAATTGATGTGATAACGCTCAATTGGCTTCGACGTGGCGCTAAGCCTGTGGCCAATCGCATGTATAGCGAGTGGCAGGCACTCATAGTGAGTTACCAGTTCCGTGGCTTTCCTGATCTGGCCTGCGGTTGGTTTTCTGATACCGAGGTCTTCAAAAAGCAGCTTGCATGCGTTCTCCGGCTCGAGTGGCTTCACCTGAAGGCAATATGGCTCGTACAAACGTTGTTTCCTCTTCAGGGTTTTATCCACCGAGGTGTAGATGATACTGCAGTTCTTGTTGAACGGGAGGAACTGCTTGAAGTTGTTGATATCATGCTCGTGCGCAAAGCTGATTCCGTCGAACACAATGAGCCACCCTTCCCGGTTCTGCAGCCATGTCCTCACCGAGTCTACATACTTGCGAGATGGGTTGGTGTCGGGGTACCGAAATTCCTGCCCATCCGTCAGTGCAGCCGCTTGAGCCATATCCCAGAAACACTTGTAGGTTGATTCAAGTGACTTGGCATCGACCCAGAAAATCCCCGCTGGGTAGATGTCTCGATGAGTGCACACGTATTGTCGTGCAAGGTGTGACTTGCCAGTCCCTGGTCCTCCACAAATCAAGACGGCCATTAGACGCTCCGCTCTCTTCTTGGCTTTGAACAAACGCGCATGCAACACTTCAAGCTCTTTCTTCATGCCTACAAACGTTGCATTTGGATGGAAACCGGGTGGGACCACAAACAGCGGATCTGCCCGTAGCGATCGTGACATAGGCAGTTCGGTGCTCTCTGCCATCGCCATTTCCGATACAACCGAGCGTCTTCTCTCAGAAGGGAGTACCATTAATTCAGAGTTACCTGAGACATAGTCAGCATTATCGACTGACAATGTGTCCATGGCAAAAAGAGGCAACTAAGATACATGGAGCGGAGAAACAGACGAAAGTATTGAGACGACGAAGAAGACAATTACCGCCCCTCCACGAATTCCCTCAGCACGATGCGCCGCCTAGAAATGCTTGCTATATGGGAATGAAGGTTCCGGGGGCTCTTCGACCTCGTACTGATTCCAGGTGATTGGAGAATGGGGACCAGGAAGCATGTGTGGCCTACCAATTGTGCGAAGGTCCGGGGCGCTTCTTCCCAGTTGCTCCGTGTCAACTATCCGTACATCGTCAGCTCTTGGCGGCCGCTTGGGTAAGAACGAAGTGAAAGAGTTACGCGAAGGCAATCGACCGAGATCACATACCATTTCCAAACATCTCCCGGGCTATGGTCTCTTTCATGAGCCGGCGCGCTTTTCCCTCTTCGATCCAGCGTTCATGTATAGTTGCTGGGGCGTCACGCGAATATCGCAAGAGAGCCTCTGCCACAGCCTCATATCCAGGAGAGCCCTCATCGTCAAATTTGCACATATGGCTATGATCAGCTTCGATGCCCATCCGTTCGACACCTTCCATGTAAGGCGCTGCAGAGTTCTCGTCGACGATCAGCTCGCGAGTGCCCTTGACGTCACTGGACAAGGTTTCATGAAAGAAGTAGATGTGGAAGCGACTAGTGATATCAGCGAAGAGGCTGTTGATGTTTTGAAGAGTCTCGTTGTTTGTCTTGAGGGCTTTAACCAAGTGAGGCGAAGATTCCATGAACTTCTTCGGCATTACAGCACTACAGATGTTCTGCAAAAGCGCGCCCCACTTTGCGACGTCGGATCCGTTGTGGGGAGTTCCGAGAAACAGGATGCCGTACGTGGAAACGTATATGGACCTGAGATGCTGGATCTTCTCGTTGTTCACGCTCCG